CAGAAACGTAGCAAAGACACTAGTTATATTGTTTGCGTTTTGGTGTTCTTGCATTACCAGATGAATTGCCAATTAAATAAGAAGACATTATAGATTAAAAAAAAAAAAAACACAAAACATTGGCTTGTTTCCTAGCAACAGCTCAGCTAAAATTACTTAACATTTCTACTCAATCAAATGTAAATTTGACTATGTTATCCCTTAAATGTTGATTATAACAGCCCTTTTCAAATGCAAATTCAATGTGTAAAGTGAATGTAAACGTTGACAAAGCTGATACCAAAATCTCCTGATTAACATCATTTGCATGTACACAGCAACATTATTACAAACCTTCAAAAGACAGAAGGAAATGGAAATTGGATAGAGAATCACCTTCTCCATCATCTCCTTCCTTCCCACTTTGTTAAAGACCAAAACAGACAAAAATACAGAGCCTTCTGGACTGTGTGCAAGATTCCAACAGTTTAAAAGTGCAAAGCATCAGCACTATCTGAATGCTGTACCTTGTTTTGTTAGCAAATACAATAGAGTGACAAAATCTGCTTTATTTCTCAGTCACAGAACATGCTGATTATAGTAAATATATATAGCACAGGGCAGACTGTGATGCTTATAATACCATTCAGACATTGATAGCTTGCAAGTTTTCCTCCCTCTTTTGGCTGGAATTTTGCATGGAAAAAAGAATACATAACTGAAGGTACAGGACAAATGAACACGGATTGCTCCCTTCCAAAGTCTGAAAGTTTTGTCCTGCACTATTAATCAGCTTTAAGATTCAAACACATTAGTCAGGTATGTGTACACTCAGGACTAGATAATGATGCTTCACCAGGAATGTTAAAACTTTTCTTATTGCAGCATTTCACAATTAGGGTATTAAAACACATCGTTTCACAACACACACATTGTAACTACTGCTACTCAACCAAAAGTCAGCAGGAAGCCAAGAACAGATGCACTGCACCTTCAGCACATTGTAAGTAATCAGAATTAACATCTTCAATTGAGAATATTTTCTAGTAGTAAACATCTTTTCTTCTTAATCATCTCAATAAAGACACTAGGCTCAAACACTAGATATATATCTACAGATATAAATGTTAAGCAGACTTGTATTTGGCAATTTTTTCATACTGATGAAACTCGGTACCTTGATAGCTCGCTGTGACAAATGTGCTTCTCCAGCACATTTACACTATAACAACTTGCACAGCATCAACTACATCAGTACAAAATGGATAACTTAGTATACAGCACCATGAAACCTAAGGAGATGGATGATATGTTCCTGAAGAAAGCAGATGTACTTTCTTCCTCCACTAAACATTCTTAATATAGTTATCACAAGCCTGTTGAGGATTATCTACTCTATTCCAGATTAGAGTTGTTCCTCTAAGTATTTTAAACAGGACATAATCCTTCCTCTCTACAGCCCTGGCCTGCAAACTTTAGCAACGTCAGGTTCTACAGGCTGAGGCAGAAGTCTTCATAACAAATAGCACAACACAGCAAAGCATGAAGCAGCAGAAGATGTGCACCTTACTTCACAATGTCCTTCACTCCGATGCTGCATGTTTGCTGCTCCACCCAAAGCTAGCTTCTGGTAGGAGAAACAAGGAGATTAACACATCCTTTTGTGAAAATTTTGAGACACTATAGTTTATTTTTGTTTGGAAAGATTCCAGAAACCCTTCTAGTGCACTATATACACAGGAAAATACTGTTTTTATATATATATATATATATATATATATATATATATATATATATATATATATATATATATATAATATATATTTTCAAGTAACTTCCACAGTCTGAAAGCCAGGGTCAGTCATAATGATTTGCTACACAGAAAAAGTAGCTTTATCTGACTATATGGTACTATAATTAAACACACAACAAAATACTCTTTGATGTTATGACTCTCACCAAATACATGGTTCACAACCATATTTTTCCAACCCATGTTTTTAGCTGTAACTCTGCAGAAATACGATCAACAATTTTCCAACCATAAACAGTGAAACTAAAGACAACAAATTCTGCTCAACGTCTTACATCACTGCCTGTATGATTTACCATTAAATATGCCATCAGTGTACGTGATATGACAGCTGAAGCTACTCCATCAGCTTATGATGGAGTAGCTACAGCAGCAGCAATGATCAGGCGATTGGACTCTCACCTCAAGATCACCACATAACAGGTTGCAAGTTCATATCCGCTACAGTGACTAGGAGAGATAACACAGTATTTGTTGAACATGCTGGACAATTGATCTGGGAACTAAAATAAATTACTCATACACTCACAGAGTTCCCGGAAAAAAGGCACATTTACAAGTAACATGAGAAACATTTGCTACAGAACAAAAGTATGTAAACAAAATACAGGCAAGACATGCATACACAGTTACCCCATACCATATGGAGCATCACTGCCAAGAAAGTTCGAGTTACAAAGATTTTAAACAACTGAAACTTAAAAATGAGCAGAAGTTAGTTAAACGCAGACAAAGAACCAACAAACAACTGTTACTTGTGTACACAGCCCTTACCCACAGAAATCGCCTCAAAGGAATTGTTCAGCCTTAGGTGAGGCACTGCAGGGACTCTAAAAACCATAGTGCAGCTATTCAAACTGCATGAAGCATTAGGATCCACGATTTAGAGGAAGATACCTTTCCTTCAACTCACCAGTGGCCCAACTTTAAACCACTCTTTTCCTTAATTCTGAATAAAACACACAAACAAGGTCCATAGCTATATACAACTGCCTTTTGTCTTTCACATTTTGATGACCCAGAAGAGCCCTTTCAGCCCTGTGCAGGGGGAACAAGTAAAAGCAAGGAGGGTTAAAACCAGAGCAATGCAAGAGCAGTCCAGGGTGGGAGAGCAGCAAAGCCACAGAAGGGAAGAAAAGAGCCTGGAGGACAGGCAAAACGAATTACTGCAAAAGTATCAGTCCAAGCTCCTAGCTCTCCTAGTGAATTATACAAGGAAACAGTTCAGCTGCAAGCAGCTACAGCCCAGAGAACCAACAACCTGTTCTCATCTATGAGGTAAATGTGGTCAAAGTAATGTCACTCTCATGCTATCCTTCTGATACTGTGGGCAACATTTACCTGTAACATGACCTACAAGTCAGAAGAAAAGCCTCTTTTGACCCTCGAGTATTAACATTCAGGTGAAAAAACAAGGACTGAGAAGGGGCAGAGCTGCAGTTTGCAAAGAAACTTGGTTATAACCGCACACATGCTGCGTAACCCTGGCAAGTGCTTTCATCTTTTACCTTGCAGGCAAACCACTCTAGATTTAAAGAAAGAAAAAAAAAAAAAGAAAGAAAAACCACACACCTGTGAATGAACAAATACGACAGCGCGATGACCTAGAAATACCGCCCTGCCTTGTGATGTGCAAGACCTCAGACAGCCACCATCCATCTCTGCAGAAGGCAGGAGTGGCGGGGGGGTAGAAAGCAGAAGAGAAAATAAATAGAAGCAGCCTTCACGGCGGTGTCAGACTCCACGAGCAGACCTTCAGCCAGACCACAATCTGGTTTATGATTCATAGAAAAAGAAACTACGTTATGTTCACAGACCGTCATTTCTGCCACAGCTTCTTTTATGGGCAGTGGTTTTGGTAGATAAACCATATCTGAGTCAAGAAGCGGCTTCAGTAAGCACCTCGGCATCGACCTAAGTCGTCGGCACGCTCCTCTCCAGCTCACTGCTGCACTGTGCACTGCCACGCAGGTGGCTTCAGAGAAAAGTGACCCCATCACTGCCCCCTGTTCGGGGAAAGGCAGATTCTGATAAGCACACAGAGTACAAGGATGAGACAAGTGACATTCATGAAGGAACCAGTTGCTAATCAGCACTCACTGGGATCCTCAGTGACTTCACAATTTGACATTACTTTCCGGGTGGGAAACAATTATTCAGGATCCTAACTAATCTGCTCTGACGAGCAAACGTATCAAGTGGCATACGTGACCTTTTCCCCCTGCAGCAGACTCCACTTACTCAAATTCCTAAGATCTTGAAGAACAGACAGTATACACAAGGCATGAGAAAAAAAATCAATAAAAACAAAATAAAAGACAGGAAGAAGATTTGCTATCTGCAGGAAAGAGCATCCCTTTCAGTCCCACCACTGCTTACATTTTATTTGTCAATTTTCTCTTTATCCAGTTCCTCTCTGCAGAGACAACCTGGCAGCAGCACATTCTTAGTATTCAACACAAAGTCAAACATAATCCCAGATGATTAAAAAGCAATAAAGCACTCCTTCAACAGATAAAACAATAGAAACAGAGTCAGAAACAGCACTCTTGCTCATCTGGAATCTCTCTCCCTCGCTTTCTTAGGGCCATTTCTGGCACATTCTTCTGGTCCAAATACACACAGAAAAGGAAAGGTTACAAAAGAAAATAAATATATATTTATAAAATAGAAAAGTCAAAAGACAGCAAGAAATAACTATAAATATAGCAGCTAATATAAATAAGAAGTTCTTGAGCACTTAATCGACTTTGGATTCAGAAATGGTCTCACAGATACTGCTCTGAAATTAGAGCTCACAGACAAAACACAAAGCTTAGAAATTAAATTACTTGGCTGCTGGAATAAATATTTATGGTTCACCTCACCTGCCCACATATTTCGATCATTTAAGATTTTCTCCTTCACAATCAATTGAGCCGAGATAACTATCAAAAGCCCAACAGCAGGATTTGTGTGATACAGAAAAACAATGGCAAGAGTTACTGTAAATATGTTTTTAAAAAAAGAACAGTAATCAGAAATATAAAGTATTTTTATACTCCTTTGAATAAAACTCCATTTGAATTCTATGGTGTCCCCTCCTGGAAAGAGAAATTAGATGTCAGTTTCCTACCCAAAACAAAGTATTTATTTGAATGCAACATACTTACGTGTAGACAAAGTAAACATTCTTCATGCAGATATATGTTCATTTTTATATACTTACGCATAGGCTTTGTAATGAGGCTACATCTCCTGATGCACAGATCAAGATCTTTTCAGTGAAGAAGTCACCGTGCACAATCCAAAAGTGTCTGGGGTCACAAAAAGACTGTTTTCAGAAGTGCAAATTACCTCCCTGTTTTGTAAGCATGTGAATCCTTCCTGCCCATACCCCTGTGGCATCTCCAAACAACTCTTGTCACTGGGAGGCGACCCAGCCTCACTGCCAGTATTTTCACTGGTACAGTGGTCACAAAGTCTGAGAATTATGATTTTCACGTTTTACTATTGGTTGAAAGATTTAGAAAAAAAGGGAAGGTGCCAGTGCTTAAAAAAAAAAAAAAAAAAAAAAAAAAAGGCACATACCCAGAACACAACCCCCAACACCACCACACAGATTTGCCATTTTATTCTCCTACTGTATTGGTGCCAAAGTGGAAGTTCAAGATCTGTTACACCAAGCGGAATTGCCATGAAGGAGGAGATCAGATGGCAAATCAAGCAATTCAAATCTTGCAATAGCCTGGACCCATTAACATTGTGTAGACAAGAGTGGCTTTTATCTTATTCCAGTCTGCTTTGCAACAGGCCTTCCTATTTCCTTTACCCCCCTGGACAGAATCCACAACAGCAATGCTGGTTCACGGTTACATGAAGTTAAAAACATGCAAATTCCACTGTATGCTGTATTTGATAAGCAGATTAATCTCTGTAGTCCACATGCACAGCAATGTGTTGGCCATCTCTTACAGGCAGTACGATCTGTTCATCGTGTCAGTGGAAGCAGGGGGAAATGTCAAATCAGAGGACTAAATCCTCGATCCACAGCAACTGTGTACAACTCCAAAGCTGTACACAGAGAAGATGAAGTCGAAACAATGCAGAAATCTCTATCTAGTGGTGAGGCACAGGTGACCTTCAGAAGTCATCTCTGGCGTATTCATTTCTACAGGAACACTGGATATATGCTGAAAAGGAAAATGTAAAGCCAGCCCCCTTGTGCTCACAGTTAGCTACAGAGTACAGTGCTAGTAAGCCATGTTGAGGAAATAAGGAGCACTGTTTTCATTTTCCAACATCTAGTTCAAGCTGGTAGTATTGACACCACCACAAGTGCACACCAACAGAAAAAGACTGCATGGATCTCAAAATCTTCACTCCTGCATGAGCTGCTCCCTCAGAACTAAAACATGAAAACCAGCTGATCACATACGTGCACATGCCCGGCATGAGACCCATAGACCACAAAATGTGTAAGAACACGTTCAGTCTCAGGAAATGCTCACAATCAGTCCTCAAATTCAGTCCCCACAAGCCACTATTCCATTTATCTAATTCCTTAAACCGGGCCCATCACTGTCGTTATCTGAGTTCTCAAACACAACTGACAAGTATGCACTTCACAGCCTATCTCATTATTACTACATGTTTGTGACAGGCAGATACACAGGCTTTTTTTCCTCAGTTCTCCTCCAACCAAGATATCTGTTAAAAAGTCTGTGTCTTCCCAAGCCAGCCACTGTGTTATTCAAGCCGTTCTGGTAAGGTCACGTCATCGTTACTGGATGTCTTTCATATTACAACACATCCTAAGCAACAGAAACAAGATTACAGCTAAACAAGATTCTGGTGTTATTAACATGTCCATCAAATAACTTGTAAATGTAATGATTAGGAAAACTTTTGTAAGTCATGTACTGTTCTCAAATCTCTTCCACAGCATAGAAATAACTCTGTGCTCTCTCTGCACTGCCTCCATTCTCAACATCCATGAAGGGAGGATGGAGCAATAAATAAATCAACCTACCTCTCACTACCACATCTTCTCTTTCCCCAGGTCATCAGATTGGAATAGCTTCCAAGCCTGATTTATCTTCCAGTATAAGCGCTTCCTACAGCTCCGCCACGTAATGATGAAACAGCTTTGTTTAACTAAACCATGTATGTCTATTTTAAAAAGCAGTCAGTACCAAAAGATGGCACTGCAAAAGGTAATGTGGTTTTCAAAGGATGAAGAGCTCAGCAGTCCCTAGATATAAACCCTTCTACTAGAAAGTATCTTATGGTGATTGTGCAAGAACTGGAATACTCCTCTCCCTTCTAACACAAATCACTATTTCTCCCTTCCTAAAGGGAAGAAAACTCAGAGAGTACCTATAGATATAAGGCAAAGTATTACAGTTGTGGTTTTCTTTTGGATGCACAGCCCAGAAATGACCTATGCAACTGGAGATAATATACAGTGAATATATCCCACTGTAAGACATTATGTGAGATACCATACAGATAAGCTACTGTCTAAGTCACATGGATATACATGCAACTGGAAGGGGCAGTATTTTATTCTGGCCAGGTGGACTCACGACTGTCTGGATATGATGAGCTGTTTTGTTTGTAGGAGTCCTTTTTCACATCCCGCTGCATAGCCATGGCGCTGTAAGACCAACTAGCAGAGTACAAGGAGACAGAATTACTGTGAGACTTCAGCTTCATCTACTTAAGCATCGACAACAGTGTACAATACTTAAGAGGAGACCACTGCGCAGCATGGATACCAACTGCAAAAGCAAACCTCCTTTGCCATGCTGTAAAACACCCTGGGGTTCAAAATATACAATACAGAGCAGTTCAACCTGTTGCATTGTATTAACCTGGGGGAAGCCAGTGCCTTGCCTCAGACACATGAGACGAAAGTCTCACCTTCCATCTCCTTCAAAGGTCCCTGTACTTATGTTCTGCTTCTAGTGAGAAGTCAAAAACATAAATAAATCCAAACCTTTGCTTTCCCAAACGCTTGTCATCAGTTTTGCCTAATACATTCTAACTTCCATCATCCAAGATGTGTGGTTGCTTCACTTCAGAGGTGGAAAGCTGTAATGGACTCATGATGAGGAAATCAGTAAAAAAAAAAAAAAAGTCAGGACAGGAGGTTCACATAAGCAGTCACTGAACTAGCTGCAGACTGCCTTCCAGAGAGGCTATTATTAGGAAGTCTAATCTTGGAAAGGGATCTATTCTGCTGTGGAATCACTGGGAGAATAGGAGAGTGGGGAGGAGACAGAAAGAAAGAAAAAAAAAAGCAGTTCTGCTACAACAGCAATGGAACAATGTTTGTTTAGAAGGGATGGGCAATTGTTTACAACAAATCCAAGGACTCCAAACACGATGGCTTTAAAACTGACCTTAAGGGAAAGTTTACTGTGTTCATGAAAGAACAGGAAAAGGGTACATCCTATCTGACCAGGAGATGCACTATTTCTTCACGAGGATTGCTTAGGAGTATCTAGACAGGCCACCTGCAGAGCAGAGAAATTTAAAATACCAAGAGGGATTCAGCTTGAAAACTAAGGTAGATAAAATAACCTATATAGATGATCCAATGTGAAAAAATTTATAGTAATATGGACTATAGGAGTTTTCAAAGTTGATTGACTGTGAGGGCAGTATACTGAGGATACTTCAGGCATGTTTTAAGAACTCTGAATCTCAGTCAAGTACACTCCCCAAGCAGACTGCATGAACATCCCTGACCATCCACTCCCAAAGTGAGCCTGCAGAAAATGAGTAGCCAGAATAGTTGTTCCTGAACTGTGGGTGCCTCCAGATGGCAAGAAAAAACATGGATTCTATTCAGGCAGGTAACTCTGCCCAGCTTTTGGGATTCAAACACTGCAGCCAAGACTGCCTGTTAAAGAGCTTATAAAAAAAAAAAAAAAGCACAGTTGTCATTCACAAACTCCTTCTGTTCCTTGCTTCAACTTCAAATTTCTTCCTTCTTTACTCCTTGCTATACTCTGCTTTTTTGCTTTCTCTAGAAGGTTGAAAATCAGGAAAAAGTTGTCAGGCATTAGTAGAGAATGCACCCAATATATGCACGTGGTATATAAGGCTAGAGTCTCTTCGACCCTGAAACTTGGTATTTCAGCATTAGTTCTTCAAATTGAGAGACAAACATCATACACACTTGGCAAAGATGGAAAAGGAACCTTCTGGGTTTACAGGGTTCACATAGTAACACAGGGGCCTTATCAGTACAAATGAAGCGTATTATACTATTATACCTGTGTAAGCAACCTGTTCCTAGTTGCACTTGCCCCATAGAGAATCAAAACTAAATAAATCAGAACAATGAGCACTGACAACTAAAGAAGGCTTTGAGATTTTACACGATGAAGTGGTTCAGTGGTTCCAGGACAGAGGAGCAGCAGCAGCTGTGACAGAATGGGGAAAAATAAACCACTCACCTATGGAGCAGCAGCAGAAGAGAACAAAAAGAACAACCAGCAGGGTTAGCAACAGGTGAGCACAGCCACAGGCTAGAGGTTTTCTGAAATGCAGGAACAGAACAGTAGACTATTTCTCATTTGCCTAAAAATCCTAAAACATGTCTACCAGCTCTAAAACAGAATACATGCATAATGCCTTTCTCAGTGGACATTTATTATGCAAAGGGCAAACCACCTTGGGTCACCAAAACCAAAATCCGTGGTCTGTGTGGGTACCAGAACTACTGAACATAACTGCTTATCAAAGGTCATACAGTGCCTGAGCAGACCCTCCTACATGGACAGCAATACGTAGACGTGGAATTTATCATCCCTCTCCTTCCGTCAGGGTTTGATAGAAGAAAAGTCAGGTGGCAGGGTATGAGTGGGGCAGCATCTTCCTAGTTTAGGAAACAGCTAGGAGATTAATAGAAGAGAGATGTAAAGGTCCGTCTTTGTTCCACACATCAACACAGATTAAGAAAAAATATTTTTTATGCCAACCCCCCACTACGTTTTTTGTTGCTGTGTTGTGAAAGGGTGGCTAATCCTACACAACTGTCTTTCCAAAATGCAGGTACAGGAATTTTTTTTTCTTCTTACTTCTGCAGTTTACTATCCTGTGTCAATTTGCCAGCGACAAACTAAGTATTTGGGCTCTTACGTGCCTGGTGACAGGACGAGGGGGAATGGGCTTAAATTGTGCCAGGGGAGTTTTAGGTTAGATGTTAGGAAGAACTTCTTTACTGAAAGGGTTGTGAGGCATTGGAACAGGCTGCCCAGGGAGGTGGTGGAGTCACCATCCCTGGAAGTCTTTAAAAGACGTT